TACACTGCGGATCATAATAATTATTATAACTTTTAATTATTGCTCTTATTATGAAATTTAAACGGTTTATTTTTATTCTTTCAAGTCCGTCTTAAATTATAAAACGTTATTATTGTATAAGTCACCTCTACTTCCCGGGGCGCCGGATACCGGTGTGTGTATACTTTACTCGTATATATAGGTACGTACAATAGGAACGGGACGCGATTCGTCCCTCGTTTGTTTCGCTGTCTGCCGCAGTCTAGTAGGTTAAGTGGACCGAGTCCTCGGGAATTATAAAGAGCGTTAACCTACAAAACGAAATTTCATAGATGATTTATTTTATTATACACCAGTATAGTGTACGTATTCGCTAATATAATATCACGGCGTACAGCACTATGTGTGTGTGTGTTGATAAAATGAGGCCTACCAATAATGATTTATATTTCCCACATGACGTGGTTTTTTTCGTACCTTATTTCGCCATCGAGCAACATTTGTTAAGGGAGCGGGGTATTACAAAATCAGCATAAATAATAGGTGGGGATTGGCTAAATCCGTAGGTATACGTCGTTCCGTTTTTAATGAATAATTTGTTCAGCCATAACATGTGATGTGAATAAAAACGTGTACATAATATATTAGCACAAAAACACACACACAAAAAAAAAAAGCTTTGAAACGTTATCACTTCCTGGATATAAGGCCAATAATAATAATAGTTTAATATGTTAATAATATTAAAATATTTCAATGATGATAATCGAATCGATTATAATTTTCATCATAATATTATTATATACCTACTGCATTTCTATAAATATTGATTAGTTTTTCAATCACACGTAAAATATTGTTTTCGATTACAAAATTATTATATACTTACCCTAAATACAGACCGGATAACCAACTCGTTAATATAGGGGTTAATATTATTAATTAATACATAACGTAACAAAACATGTTTTTAAATAAGCCGACGTCAACACAATAAAATATTAATTCAATATTTTCACCCATGTTCCTATATAATTTTATTAATTTTTAACATTTTTTAACAAATTTTAACATACTCGATGGTTGTTGTGATATTTTATCCAATTATTAAACGTAGGGATTTTATTTTAATAATATTTATAATGTACATATCCTTTCAGTACTTGCACTGATTTTATTTCGCTAAATATAATATAGTGAATTCACTTTTTATGAACTTATACTTCAGAATTTTACGAATTTTTCAAAAATCACAGCCTTTCAAAACATGTTTAACTGAAATTTGTTCAAAATCATATTTCGTTAGGAATGATTTATACTAGCGTACAGATATAATTAAAATAATCCTACATAATATCCTACCTTTCCAATTTTCCAACAGCAGTATTAGATATTTTAAAAAAAATATAAGTTCTATAATTACATCTGTATTCCAAAAATCGTATACAAATATTGTGCGGTTATTATTATTTATTTATACAATCATTCGCTTTAATTTCGCTAATGCAATCGCTTCTTAAGTGCATATTTAAACGTATACGAAATTAAAGTGGAAATTCATGTACATTTTTACTTTTCTTAATTTTATTTCTCGAAAACAGACATTCTAGTTTTTTTTTTGTTTTTTTGTCAAAACACCTATTTTATTTAACCCTCAGTTATATCATTTGGTTTGTATTTTTTGTTTTCGTTTTTTATTGTGGTATCGAAAACAGAATTTTTTATATGTTGTTTATAGTAATATAATATACGTGTAATATTAATACACTCTTGCAAAACATAATATAATTATGAGATTTAATGGAAGTAAACTTTAAATATATACAGTAAAAAAATTGCTATAGAACTCGTACAGTTATGTATGAATTTTCTTTCAAGTTTTCCTGAATCTAGTTAAGTTTGTCTACGTTTTTGTTCAGTCACACAATCGCACATATTAAACTTATTGTATAATAATAATAATAATATGAGACGAATAATTTATGTTTATACATTCGTTGAATATAATTGTACTAACTACCAGTTGTGTAATTTGCATTATGGGAGCAAATTGGGCAATTTCCATAGACTACAATAGTTTGATTTTTAATCTTGTTTGAAGTTGATATTTTGGTTGCTCTCTGGCTCTTAAGAAAAAAAATTTGACATAACTGTTGTATAACAAGATGTCATAAAATTAGATCAATTATAACCTAACCGCCGATAACATAATAATCAGTCACAATAATAGTATTGTCAACGTGGTTCATCATAAAATTAAAATAATAATACTCCTAATATATTATTATTGTAATAGGACAGTAATTAAGTATACGCTTTTTTTAATTTCTGAGTAAAACATGGAATGTATTGGTTTTACTATAAGGTGTGTTTTTTTTTATATCTGTGAACAACTTTTCTACCAGAAATCATGCTTTGATAGACAAACTTTAGGAATGGTTTCCGGTAGAAATTGTTGTCTAGTTAGTTTATAGCATAGCATTCGAAGGTTATTTTTTGATTTTCTTTTAGTTTTCTTAACAACTGACAAAAACCCGGGGAAAACGTGGGAAAAACGGAACATTTACATAATAGCAGTTTCTGTCGATTTCGATTTGGTCGTTTGTTATATAATTCAGTTTATCTTATTTTTTACCCAATAACGATAATAAAGAGAGATATACTTTGCACGTGGATGGGCTAATATTGTAAGCGAGAAGTTTAGAAAGTAGAAGGAAAATTTAATGTGTATATCTGTAGGCAACGATTAACCATTGTTAACGAAAAACGATTCTGAGTAGAGTTCGGTTAATAGAGTTGTTTTGTCAACAATGTATAATGATACCTTATGATAAAATAATTACACGCATTATATTTTTTATTTAATAATATTGTACCTATTTTACCATTGTTTACCATGTTTTTTCCATTTATCGGGAAAATTCCTGGGAAAATCAAAAAATGTCCTTCCTAAAGTACCACCCCGTAAAATTTGCATTCAGAAAAAGTGTTACTATTAAAAATTGTAGCAAAATTTATGGTAGAAAAGTTATCTACATCTAACATCATTGTAAAACCAATACATTCCTCGCTCCGCTCAGAATCTAAAATATAACAGATAAGTATAGTTTGTACATCAGTCTTTTGTATCCCATACTATTAATAACACTGTTATTTAAATTTTTATATATTTATAATTACAGTTTTAATTTACCTAATTTTCCAATATTTATGTATTTTACTATGCCTTTAACGTTTAAATATCTTATTATTTAGATATTATATATGATTATTAGGTATTTAGGTTAAATTAGATGTAAATATCAATTAAAATAGAGGAATCACCATGTTTTATAAAAATCGGGGCTTTAGTTTATAAAATTTATCATTTTTATGTTTTCTGGTATTGAATATATTTAGTATTTTATGTATCTACCCTATGTACTCTAACCTTATGCACTTTGTATAGGTACCTATCGTTTTATTGATATAATTTGGTCCATTCGTGGATGTTTTAATTAATTTATATTCGTCAAACCCCGAAATTTCGGTACGTACAAGTGTACAGTGTACTATGTGCAAAATTTACCCATGTAGCATATTAATGTAATATTATATTATGAATAGTTTTATACGTGTATTCTGTCAGATCTGTTAACGACATACGCTGCATGATTAATATTATCTGTATACAATATTTATAAATTATATATACCTATATGTATTATGTTCTATCAATTGCGTATTTAGGTTTTTGCCGCCTCTGGGGTATTTAAAAAAAAAAATCAAAAATATTTTAAATTTATTTTATTTTAAAAATACAGTTGTACATTGTTGAATATTATTCATCATCATTATCATTATCATGGTCACATAGCTTCATAACTCTATGTAAGAGTTTCAGCCACACTGTCACTGCCCTAATCATAATCACGATTTCGGGTATTTTTCTCTTATTCTGTTATGTGCAACCTTTCTAGATCCTCGTATCTACGCTGTATTTTTCATCCATTTGTAAACCTCCATCCGATTGCCACTCTAACTTTACTTGTTTCCTCTATTCACATTAAGTGGGACCAGCCATTCAAAATTATTTTTATAAGCAACAAAAACAAAAAAAATCATACATAAATTGTTTAAAAATATGCTGCCCCTCCCAAAATTGTCACCCTAGGCTTTTATAAATAGTTTGATCTTATAAATTTCGTCATCACTGTAAATTCCACTATTTATCTATCGGTGTTTCCATAGAAAAATACAATGTATGCATATTATATACATAGGTCTCGGGCAACGATAAAGACAAATTAATTTTTTTTTTTAAGTGCTCGAACGTTATTAATCACGCCGCGCGGTCACGTCATGCGATGACCGTTAAATTTCCCCGCAACATCATCGTCGGTCGTCGTGTCGCTGACATTTCGGTTTCATTGCAAAAGTCGTGTAAAACTGAGCATTCCACTATTTCGCATGATGTACGTTAGAGCGCGCGTATATATGTATACGCGTGTATCGAAGGTCTGAAACGACGGTGACATCGAGCTAAACCGAGGAGGAGGATCTTTCCCGCACTCCCCATTTAACCATCACTCGAGCGTATAGCGAAACTTTTATAGTAATAATAATAATAATAATAATAATAATAATAATATATGCTCTCTTTATATACGACGACCTACTTGCGCTCGTCCGTCAAAATCAGCGACATACGTAATTATTTTTAAAAACCTTTACTCGACCGTAAAATATTTAAACTCATCGTAGGTACTTAACTTACTCCCGGGTCGTTTAGGTTAATTGTATACGGGTGATTATATATTATAATAATATTATGTATACGCGTTAATTATTTCCAAGATTTTTCGATGTGTCAGTGATTGACACCTGTGATATTTTATTATTTTAACTGTCTGGGAGGGGGGGGGGTAAATTGTTGTGAGTACACCAGTTAAAAATTGACTTATTAGTTATTTACACATCCATGTTTCGATCGTCGAGTGTATTCTTAAAAATATGATTATGCTTTCAATGGTGGGTAGAGGACACGATAATTGATAGTTACGGTTTTGTGCTGATGGGTATCCTTGAAGAGAACATACACAATCAAATTTAGATCAAAGAGGAAGGGGTTATGTGCTCCCCTAAAAAAAATCGTTCTATATAATTGTCAAAAAAAAAAAAAACATCAAATGTTTAATTGTTTATATTAGTTAGGTAGTATATTTTATCTTTTTTCATAGCAAAACAACTACCCCTGGTACAGAGAAATTATTTTTTAAAACAAATTATTATTGAGATGTGAGATAAGAATAAATTACAAGGCAACTGTAATTTTAATTGAAACTGATAAAACCGGGCGAGCTGCTAGTATTATTGTTGATATTTTATTAAATAACAATAATATTGTTAATAAAACTGTTTTGATAATATTATTATGAACATATTTTTAACTGTTTTAGTTTTAATTTAAAAGTGTATTATTATTAGAGAAACAATTTTTTTTTTTTTAAAAATATTATAGACAAATTAAAACTTCGTAATAAAAAAAATATATTTTATGAAAGAATCAGTAACAGTAAGTAACAATAAAGCACCATAAAAGAATTGTTTTTCATTTGCAATGATTTATTGTTGCATAGATACTGCAGTACATAAACTAAATTACATTATAAATCCTACTACTTTCCCAAATACTCATCATACAACAGTGACCTACCTATAGTGAAAAGTATGTCTGGTTTTTTTTTTTTTAATTTCTAGTTTAAAACAGTGCAATTTTTGTTATTTCGGATATTTATTTTCTCTTTCTGAAAATCACTACTATAACTGATTGTGAGTTATTTTAGATTTCGATCGACAGAAAAAAACCGGCAAGTACAATTGGAAAATTCCACTCGAGTAAATCCTTTCTCGGCAACGAAGCGAGTGTTGCATTTAGTCTCTAGAATGACCGCAGTCGATTATTAGATTGACAAAATCTATTCATATACTCTTGTATAGACAAACCGGCGTTACAAGCCGTATACATTTGTATTTAGAAGTTTTTAGAATTCAGCTATATATTATTAGCTATAGGTATATATACATTTGACTCTTATTTATAATCTTGATTAGGTAGCCGAAAGAACGTTTTTAGGTGAAGTTCATTTAATAAAGAAAACGCAATTAAATGAAGCCTAACTAAATACAGCACGAAGAAAAATTTCATTTTTTCGCGATATTTTCGAATTAATGGGGTACGCGTAATAAAAATAGGAACGCTTTTCTAAACGTGAAAAGAAATCTGACAGAACAGAATATATTAAACGATATATTAGGTATATTTTATTTAAACATTTATTTTTTAATTTCTTAATTAAGAATTAAGGTTTTAAGGCATTTAAGCCATTTAAGGCACTTGAAATATCTAATTTATTTCCATTAATAATATTGTTATTACTAACATCCTATGAGGTTAAATATTTAGGTATCTACAGCGGCATCTGAGGAATTCAATATACTTTGGCGACCCTATTTTTATAAAATGTGTTTTTGACCTGCATGAAATGCTATAATTACATCGCTGCCTATGAAATGTAAAATGCAAAAGGTAATCGAACAACTGACATTAGTTGTCTTTACGTAATAATGAGATGTAGGTGAATGTTACAACGATTAATTGGTAACAATCATAGCTAAATAAACGGGTATGTCAATAAGATGGTTGTTGTTATTTTAATGCCAAGAAATATATTATTTGAATATTTAAATGTAAAGTGAGAATATGAAGGCGAGGCGATAAATATTTTCGGTTCCGTAAAATAAACATGATACACAAATGGAAGGAAAAATTGACTCAAATCAAATGTTTGCACCCCTATTGGAAAGTTGATACCCCCGTGAGTATTTGTAACTCAAATCAGTAGCTTTCCCAAGGATTTTTAATGGAAGGAAATGTAGTAAGTAATAATCATGGTTCATCTTCATAAATCTTCTTCTGTTATACCTAACTTGACAACAAGAATTTAAATGGATCGAAAAAAAAAATTTATTTAATAAAACCACTAAACAATTGTTGTATTTTTAAGCTAATGGAGAGGTAATATAACCCTTAACTACCCTCCTACTCTGCTAACGCCACTGTCTCAAACAAATTATACAAACATAATAATATATAAGTAAAACAACTGTATTTAAAATACAAAAAGTTCACAAATTTGAGATGTACAATAATTTTTTTGTAACATTGAAATATATAATAAATGTTAAATACTAAAAAGCTCTAAAAAAAGACAGTTTTACAAAAGTTCCTACAACCGATATAATATTATATTTTATGAAAATTACTATATACGGACAGAAAATATTCGATTTGTCTCTTGTATTCGATATATTGGTATATATTTTGTTCGTATAATAAAAAGTTTTTAGACATTATATTATATAACCTCGAAAACTCTGGAAAAGTCGATGCAAACTGTACCTAATTTTAAAAGCAGCCTATGTGATGCGTTTATCGACAAGGCGTAATAAATTGTACAATAATGTACACTGGTAATAATGACAATAATATAATAATATTATTATATGGCCATGTTTGATGATAGAAAGAAAAGCCATTGCATATTATAATATACAGGGTAATTATTTTATCACGGTTCAGGGATTATCTATAGTATAAATTCAATAAAACACGGTGATTTTGAGTAAAATTGATTTTGCTTATTTTTTAAAATTTATTCAATGATCTTAATACTATTGTTTAAAATTGTAATCTTATTCATCACTTATCTAACGCGTACACCTTAATTTAATTTTGATTTTCAAACGGTAACCTCTATATCTTTTTCAAATCAAATTTGAAAAGAAAATATTTACCTAAATGAGTAAATAATATATCGCTAATATTCATTTTCTGCCAATAAAACTTCGTTAGACGACATTTACTTTTTATTTTTGATACATTTTTAAGTTTGCCATATATTTTTGTTTATCCTGTAAAATTTGTTAAAATCGGCAAACGAGGTTTTGCTGGGTTGCTTGCGAAAATGGATTTATTATTTATGAGTTATTTTATAAAGGATAAAATGCAAGTTATTACCCCTCCCTATTTCTGTGGTTTGAATTTCAACTTTTATTGCTCATAAACGGTATGTTCAATATCAGTGTTATTATACGCATACTTACATTTGTAGAAAATTATTCTTCTTTCTTATCTGTGTTGAAAGTGGAGAAAGTTATCATTTAAAAATCAAAAGCTACTACACATTCAAGTAAAATTCAGTGTTAAAATCAAACTTAAGCGATTTCATAATGATTGAAAAACCGAAATAAATTTTACTTGACATTTTCGTAGATAATCGCTGGATAATGATAATAAAACATCACCCTGTATAGGATGGTCATGGGCTAGGAAAGCTAATCCTGTTTTTAAAAAAAAATTGTATGCGCAAAACATCTGTGTGGTTTTCATACAACAAACGGTGGTAGCGGTGGAATTCAAATTAAAATATTTAATTTTTGTTTTTTACTATTCGAATGAAAAGTCGAGCCGAATGTTACAGAATGCATGAGAACGGATAATACGCAAGTTCGTACCGTTTGTAGGATGTATGCATATATATTTTTATTTCTATATTTCTATACTAGACAGCTGCTGTCTAGTTTCGAATAATACTTATGCTGTCTTACCTATATATTTATGTATAAAAAAAAAATAATATTACATCGTCATCGGAGAAATAAATGTCTTCGCAGTGAACTAACTGCAATCTTGTTACGTTTTTATAAACTAAAATCAGTCGTAAAACGTCTATGAAAACGGGTCATAAAATATCATGGAAACAGTTTAGGTATTGAATTACAATATTATATTTACGCAACTAAAATCGAAATATTACATATTTGAAAAATCCTAGGTTAACCAGTACTGTATTGATCGGTCTAATATATAGCTGTGATAGTTTTATAGTTTTTGAAAATTCTATCGCACTTTATATTATATAAAAAAAAAAAAAAAATGCGCGTAAGAAATCTTTCTACGGTTTCGTATAATATCGAAATCCGAAAATTTACAGTTTTTTTTTTTTTGCAATTCTTTGAAATATATGTTTTCGCTTATCCAAGTTGTATTATTTATTACGATTTTCACACTATTCTGTACTTTCCATGCAGTTATCGCGGTTTATCGTATCACCATTTATCAACACGGCCGGTGTAGTATAGTATATTTATTAGTTTTTGTTTTATTTTTTTTTTTCTATAGGCGTATGCATTGCGTCTTCAATAGTTTCAGTGTGTTTTATCTACTTTTTTTTGGCGATTAGCCCGATATACATAACAATAACCACATACCATAATAATATATTATTTTAATAGCATCGCGATAAAATACGAATTAATCAATGTATTTCATGTTGTTGTTATCAGTGAAATTCGAAAATGTATAATATAAGACGGCGGGTTGAAAATTCGTAAACATTTTTCTATTATTTTTTTCCGGGTTTTCCAAATTATTATGAGAAACTTTAAGAAAATTAAAATGACCCCCTTAACCGACTAAATTCAAAATACAACATATAATGTCTCAGCATTTTTTGATTGGAGTGAGTTTTTAGTAGACAAATTATTTGTAGACTAATAAAATTATTTAACTTATACCTATAAACTATTGCTAACGAAAAACGAGTTGGAGCGAAGTTTTGTTTGAAAGGCCGTGATATTTACGATTTTCGTCAAAATTTATGTATTTAATGTAAGTGTTTTTAACACTTATACGAAACGAAAAAATGAAAAAAAAAATGCTAAGTACGACTTACAATGAATTTCATGTCGAATTTTTAAAAATATTTTTTTTTAAGCGTTTTAAACTACAAATCGTGTTTAAACACTCAGAGTCGTTTTTCATTAGCAATCATTTATTGTTGCATTTAGGTATAAATTAAATTAAACTACTAAATAATCCTATTAAATTTAGTATTTAACAGTACCTAATGTTAATTCGCTTGTCATATTTTTATTACAAGCCACAATCGTAATAATTTCGTTTTTTTGAGATGTATAATATTAAGTTTGAAATATAAAACTTATACAAAAAAAATGATGTGTAATAATTTTTTTCAAAAATATGTATCTATTATTGCAGAACTGTAATAACTTTATTTCATGGTGTTCAGTTGAGATTTATGTAAGTATATAAATAATTACCAAGTTTCGCTATAACCATTTGGGAACAGACAGTTTAAATTTTTTGGATTTTTTCAAAACCATGTTATTTTTTGGTTTTGACGGTCTAGTACCTGAAATATACAGAGGTATGATATCAGCAGGCGTTATTTTATATTTTTTTAACCCGTCACATGCGAAGAGATTGAATAACATTGATCATGGTACGTGTCCTGGTCGTTGTGCGAAAGCAGTGGCGTGCGCAGGAGAAGAGCGATTATGAGTTACGTCCCATATCCATCCTCTTAACAATTTAACAACTATGAGTATTTATTAAGTAGTTTTATTGTGAAATGATATACTTCAGTACATAAATATTTCATATCCAAAAAACAATAACAAAAAATAAAACGCTTAATTTTTTAACAACAAATAAAATAAAAATACTATTTTGGATCCGGCTTTTAAATTATCACTGCCGAATGTCCATTGCTAGGTATATGAGAAGGAGATTCTAGGATATGTGGATATCATGTTTATTATTTGACTACATCTCCACCCATCGAAAATTATTCTTGGGCACGCCACTGTGCGAAAGATTTTGACTTTTATACGGTCCATGCACGATGCGCGGAAATAATATTTATTATCAAAATACGCGGTGGTAAACAATCCACCAACATAAATTATGCATATTATAATAATATGTCGGCGGTCATTTAATTGTGAACACGCGTACAACCACCTTGACAAATGACTCTTTAGTATATTTTAGCGGTGTGTCATTAAAATAGAATAATATACGTATGCATACGGTAGGTAATTTTAAGGACAAATCTCCACTTTCGTTTTATTGTTTTTTTTTTTGCACGGGTTTTTATTATTAACCCTGTGGCCGTAGTTTGTTTTTTACGATTCTCTGCAGACTCGCGTTGTTTCGGGGTTTTTTTTTTTTTATTTACTTTTGTTTTTTTTTTTTTATTAACTGCAGCTACAGTACAGTTTGTAACTACGCGTTATTCCGTTATAAAATATATAGTTCACGGCGAAGCGTTTTATAAATGGCAAACATCAGGAAATATAAGGGGAAAAATATTTACGCCACGCTGCAGCGTTACCGATTTCGTTATTTAAAATGTTCACAATTCATGTTTTCTACCAAAAATCTTGCTCCAATCAAAAAACGACAAAACACATTTTAGGATGTATTTGGGATCTAGTTGGGAAGTAAATAAGTTATTTTTTGATTTTCCAAGCAGTTTTTTTCAATAATTTGGAAAACTTTGAAAAAAATATTTAGGAAATAACGGTTTCATTATTTTCAATTTTTTTTTTTTATTGTGATTCGATTAAAAATAACATAAACTGAATCATAGCAAAAAACCAAATCGAAATCTACCGAAACTGTTATTATGTAAATGTTCAGTTTTTCCGACGTTTTGCCCGTTGTTAAGAAAACTAAAAGAAAATCAAAAAATAACCTTCAAATGCTATGCTATAAAATAACTAGACAACAATTTCTACCGGAAACCATTCCTAAAGTTTACCTATCAAAGTATGATTTCTGGTAGAAAAGTTTTTCACAGACATAAAAAAGAACACACCTCATAGTAAAACCTATTCCTCGTTTCATTTAGAATCTAAAAAAAAGTGTGTACTTAATTACTTTCCTATTACAATAATAATACATTAAGAGTATTGTTATTTTAATTTTATGATGAGCTACATTGACAATACTATTATTTCGACTTATTATTATGTTACCGACGTGTCAGTTCAAAAACGCCATTCGATATTAATATTAACCATTGCGCCGAGACGAGCGAAGACTCGTCATGCGGACATCGTGCTATGGTTTCGTAAATAATTTCAACGCGGATTAGAGACTCGATCCCCAAACGGTAGTTAAAAATACGCCGCAATGCGATAAAAGAACCAAAAAACAAAACAAAAAAAAAATTCTCCGTTGCGACTGTCGAAAACGTCGAATCCCGGACTCCCCGGAGAGTGAAAACACGCGTGTAAAACCATTGCAAACGAGCCAAACGACGACGTTCCCATTGGTCGACCATTATAATGTAGTACCAATCAATTTCCATTTCGACATTCCGTTATAAACGTAGATAATTCATATACTTAATATTTTTGTTCTATATAATATATTGTTCATGTATTTATTTTGCACTGTGTACATCTTTCTTGGATTGTTATACATTTCTAAATTATTATTATATTTTTTTTTTTGTGGAAATTTTGATCGAAACAATTTTAAGGAGACATCGCAGGAACATTTTTCGTCTGCCTTTCTAATAACAACTGGCGATATAGAAAACATGCAGTGCATCTGGAATTCTGGTTTTAAATTTCTAACAGACTTGAAATGAAAAGTATTTTACTGAAGATTTCGATATTTACTATGTTTTACATATAAATTTGTTGATATTTAATTTTCAGACTACCTATTCGTAGGTTAACTATTTAAATATTATAAACAAAAAAAATTGAATCTTTGTTTTTAATTTTAATATTATATAATTCAATTTATACAACTCAAATGTAAAAAAAAATCTTTCTATTAAAACATATACAATAAATGTTTTTGCCTTTATTTAGTGACAAAATTTCTGTTTTAAGCCTTTAGAAGCCAGGCGTTCGGCTACAACTCCAAAAATGTGTTCAATTAAAACAAACGAAAAAATCTTTACAATTAGTTTTGGAGATAAAACGGTTGTTATACAATATTTACATGATTAACATTTTAAATATACCGGTAATTTTAGAAATATTAATTATTAAAAAAATATATAATACAAATATAAAATGCAAATTTCTACAGCTTTGATAATGAGTTATTATTTAAAATAATATGTTGTTATTAAGGGGGGGGTGTTTGAAAATTAAAACACCCCCCCCCTACACCACTGATTATTAAAGTAGGTATATTATAAATTATAATCAAGATGGATACATTTAAAAAATAAATAAATATATAATTACCTATAATTTATGGAAAAAAAATTACTTTTCTAATTTATATTAAACAGAGTGTCTCACGATGATCTGAAACTTGAAAAATTTTTTATTTTATTGAATATTTTGAATATATTTTTTGGATAATTAGTATTTCTCTGCACTACAGTAAATATATTAAAAAATTCATTTTTAGGTGGAAAAAGAAACTTAAAATACAATTTTTTAAAATTCAAAATAGCCACATTGTAAAATCAATGCTTGGAAAATGTTTGGTGGTTGAAAATTTTTTTTACGTATGGTCTTTTATTTACTACAATTTTTTAAAGTTTATGCAAATGTAAATATTATTATTGTTTATAATCTATTATAATATTTAATCAGTAGTCAGTAGTATTATTGTATGATATCAACACATAGAAAATAAAACCCTTTTCATTCAATGTGCTTTGACTATTGATTAAATTTTATAGTAGATTATAAACTATTGCAGTAGTATTGCCATTTGAAAAAACTTCAAAATTATAGAAAATAAAAGACCATACCTAAACAAAAGTTGCAACCACCAAGATTTTTCTAAAAATATACTTTACAAAATAGTTAATTTGAGTTTTTTTTTTCAATTATAGCGAAATTAAAAATTTTTTATTTTAATTTCCTTCCTAAAAAAAATAATGTTTAATATATTAACTGTAGCGCAGAAGCATACTAAAAAAAATTTTATCAAAAAAAAAAAAAAAAAATAAAAATATTATTTGTATTAAAAATGTCAATAGAAAGTAGAACAAAATTTAAAGTGTCAAATCATAGTGGGACATCCTACATAATAGGTATAATAGTTAAATAGGATTAAATAAAATAACAGTAAACGAATAGATAATAAAATGTTTAATAATATTGTTCTTATAGTGAAAACTAATTGGACTATTTACTTTATCATTATCACTACATACATTTACTCACCGACAAACGAAACTCGGTTATTTTATTTAGATGGTATATAGTTATTAGGTCTGAAAGTACTTTGAAAAGTCGATAGTGTTCAAATAGCTTCGAATAAGTTCGAAGATATGTACGCAATTTCTCAGACAGTTTCTCTATCTGCTGTTCGGTCCTGACAAATTACGTCTGCCTGGTCATTGTGAACATACACCGAAACTATTTGTATATTGTATTACAATATCATTTATATTAACATAAATAAAACATCAAAGGTCTGATGTCTTTTTACCGTTTTAAATTTTACTAAATATAAGTTATGGTTATAGTTAGATATATTGAAAGAAGCTAAGGCGTAATCAAGAATTTTTTAAAGGGAGGGGTCTTTTAATTTTATATTTAATTACAACTTTTGGGAAGAGGAAGTAACTTTATTCAGAATTTGCGAAACGGTTAGCGATGTTGTTTATTTGTAAATATATCCAACAACAGCTGGTGCTTTCACAGATTACCGTCACGATATACGGTATTGTCATTTGGAATATAACAATAATTATTATTTTACATTGACATCATCAAGTATACCTAATTATATTATATATTATTATATAATAACTTTAATCTTCACGATAAATAATAATATTTAATATGGAATTAGAATCAGTAAACTACACATTTCGTAAGTAACCAAAGCATTTAGTATATAATTTATTTTTGACCTACTATACAGTCGAGAGAGGAGGGAATGTTTTAAGTATTAAAACACTCCTATGACATGCCTTTGGCAAAAATAGATGAAATTTGAATCATTTTTTTTTAAATTAATTGAGAACCTAATAATTATTTTTAAAGAAATAATTTTGTTAAATATTAAGGAGATCTAGAACCTGTATTTGCAGTCTTTGTATGTATAACGGGAACCAAAGACAACACGTGTTTTCGTATTTTTAACAGTACCCAGGCCCGCCGGTTGAATAATTTTAATTATATAAATTGCATTAAATTTTTGTGGAACAGTTTTCTTTTTACTATCATATATAATTTTATTTTGCGGTTTTAAAAATTATTTTAATACACCGGAAAATAGGATTTCTAAAAAAACATCAATAAAATAAAAATAAAAATAAAACTTGTTATGTAGGCATTTATTATAAATTCCTTGTATATTTTTGGCATTAAAATGAAGTTAAACTAATATAAATATTCTTAGACAATTTCAGGTCTCTACAAATATATTAGCTGAATAACAAAAAACAGAATTGAAAATAACAAAACCTTTACGATTATAATCTGTAATATTTAAATGATGCTGTTTTTTTATAAAAATATTTTTTGTTTAGGAGATTATTTAGCGTTTCACACGCAAAGAAATTTACTTTTAGTTTTAATTAATATTAATCTTTATCGTCAACTCTGTACAAAAAAAAAAACGCACGACATTTCACATTCGTAAATACTTTGTCATATTTAATCTTATATAAACATACGTATACGCAGTCGGGCGCAGACACAACAAATATACCTAAACGTACAAAATATAATGTTTGCTCTAAAAAATTTTCTAAAATTTATTATTTAGTAAATAGTATTAAATCTGCAATTTTAAGTATTTTAAGCACATTAAAATCGGTACTTTTTCTTTGTTATAATAGTTTTAAGTACATAATAATACGAAAGAAGAGTTTAATATTATGAAGTTAAATTAAAAAAAAAAAAAAAAACCTAATAAATTTATAATGCTGATAAATATGCTATTTATATTATATTTATTATAAATGGGAAGTTACGATACATAGTTATTTAATTTTTATCTATATGTAAGGATTCAAAATTGTTAATAAAGTACTCAATTCTTAGTGAAGTTCGATTATACAGTTTTTGAAACTTAACGATTTTCGTTAAAATGTTTTACTTAAAACTCTCATGTAAAAAAAGTTTTCCCATTTATTAATAAAACTATAAGAAAAATCAAAAAATGACCCCATCTAGATCACGAATGATAATACTAGAAAAAAGCTCTTATAAAGTTTTTTATTGGATCAAGATTACAGGCATACAAAAAACACATCATAGTTAACCAATACATTTCTCGTTTCGCTCACAATCTAAATATATATTAACGTCTAATAATCTAACATTTGGATTTTTTAAACCATTACAACGATACCTTTGTATGATAAGATGCATGAAAAGTCAGACTGTCGTTCCTTAGTTTTAAATGCAGAAAAATACTCCTATATTATGTTTTGAATTTTACGAAACAATTGTATGGCGATGTACATAATAAGAACTTCTTGAAAGTGTCATCGAAATCTATGGATAAATGGCGTAATTAAACGTATGTGTTACACGAACAGACGGAAAGACTGTAAATATTAGAAGGTTCTATTTTTGTCATTTTTAACGGTTAAAATTCACGAAATTAAGTTTTGAAACGCTAATAATGTAATGTCAATAATCGAAACGGGACGTATAATTATAATAAAGAGATTTATTGTTAATTTAACATGAAATGAAAGTTTTGCCTTTGGCGACTATTATCGATACATCTGCACCTTCGGCACAGCAGTAGATACTTATTAATTTTCTCGTGGCTGCATAGGTATTAGATTTTTATAACTATCGTGTATTCTCCTCGTCGAGAGAGAAAATCGCGTCCGAATTCCCTTCTTCAAATTTTATGGCCCACCAGACAAGTACAACAGTCGGATTGTGATTGCTTTTCCGGTACCTATGTTATATTATAATGTTTGTGGAGGCGCTACTTACTCGTGTAGTATAATTTTTATACATCATATTATTATATTTAAATACAGCCGTCGTTATTTATCGTTAAGTATTTCAGAATCTAAGATTCGAGACTCAGATAAATTTGTATATTGTATCTTTTGAAACTTGTTTAGTTATATCACTATAGTTATGGACATTTCCGAATAGCTTATACTGTCGATAGTTTTTCCAAACTATCGAATGTTTCATTTAAACATTCAATAGTTTTATTTATTTTTTTTGAATTAATAATAATTAACGAATAATAATTGTAATATATAATTTATTCGAATAACATACCTAGTTTTAAATATGCCCAGTGGCATTTTCTAAAAATCTTAATAGTAAAAATGTCTTTTTGATATTTTGTTAAAAATAAAAAAAATATTTAAACCCTCGGATACAGCATTCAGTATCAAGTACCTCGTATGTAGTGTCTAACGGTAAAAATATATGTATCTAGACATTTTTTTTTTTCAAGTTTCTTGTGTCCGTCATCTTTTCATATATAGCCGTTGTTTATAAAGTTTCGGTAGGTATGCAAAGGGGCAGGCTCTCAATCGAGGTGTCGGTAGTGAGTAAGAAAATTGTATTGTTTTCTTTCGATCGCATTATTATTATTAAACTTATATATATATAATATACAGTACTTGCGGACAGACCAACGACGCCACTTATTTCCCGTCCATTCGTCGTGCGTATATCGACTATTATATTCCATACATATGATCTTTTATTTCGTTTATAATATGTATTATATATATATATATAATATTTTCTTTTTCTTTTTCTTTCCGTACGTGTATATATGTGCAGCAGTTTAACGTCAGACAAATGATGGTCGACAGTACGGGAATGAGAACGGACAATAATATAAAGCCAGGAACGCCCGTTACTACAACGTCTGAAACGTCCAGCTCAAAAAATCAACACGACTGCGGCGGCGGGAGTTCCGGCGGCAATGCCAAAAACGGCGGCGGTTCGGCGACTGTCGAAAAAATTGTTCCGTCCAGGTAATATTATTATTAAGTACATTATATTTTCGGTTTTATTTATTTATTCCGTTATTATATAAGTAGGTATACTTGTGTTTTTGACCGTATACGTCGCTAAACGGTTGATTTATTATCCTTTTGTAGGTACCTACATTGTATCGATTGCACTATTACGGTACAGTATAGGTAGGTATACAAAAATAAATGGTAAAAATGTCGCTACCGATTCTTTAGATTTTAATATACGACACGGCCGTAAAAAAAAAAAAAAATAAATGAAAAAAAAAACAATTTCAATAACGTACTATAGCAAAATAAATCAAAGAAATAAAATATATTATATTATAAAATTTGAAAAAATTTAACTGAAATACTAAAGTTTTACGAATAATCATTGTTGAATTTTCACCGAAAGTAGACTATTGCGCTGTATTATTGTGTCTGTTATATACAATATATGTATATAGTTCTCCCGCTACTTTTTAACATTTTTAACGGTTTCATATGGACTAAATGAGCTTAAAATCGAGAATTAAAGTTGTTTAATAGGTGGTTTAAACTGATAATATTTTCGTTGAATTTCAATATGAATTTCACCATGTTATTAAGGATGAGGGTGTTTTTTTAGTTTTGAACACCTTTATACAGACCCTTTAAATGAAGTAAGGGGATGGAATTTAGTGTATGCAAATGACAAGATGTGTATTTTGGAGGTTTTTACTTTTAACGCTACCTCAATCATTTGTATGTTAAAATTTCACGTTTTTGTAGGAAATACCAGATTTGAATACTCTTATAGACTAAAATGTAATAAAACTCTAGCACTCATAACTATTTCATCGATCAACTATCGATAAAATAAATATTAAATATTGAAACGGCAAGAAGTCAACCAAGAAAAAGTTCGATTCTAGTGACGGAGTTCTGTAGCTCACAAGCGTTTATTTTAAATAAAAACTGCAATATATTAACAGAAATTCAGCAATACTATTTATTTATCAATTTTTTTTAATGTAAATTCAATCTTAATATTACATTGTTAAAGATAATATTGATTTAAGACTTTATTTAATTCAACCATTTACCTACAGCAAAATCAAAACGGTTTTTTTATTTACTTTTTTAATTTTATTAATTCGAATGGATAATTTACCTTAATGAACTTTCGAAAAAATACATTTGCGATTTACACAGGTTAATCACTATTAAAAAGCAATACGTTTTACATAATATTATGACGTTTAACATAATTCTGTTATTTTTTGTTTCTGTAATTCAATTTTGAAACGATTAATTTATTTCTAGCGTTTCAAACACTGCACAGTGTTTAATATAACATTGAAATCTTTATTATACATTTAAAATCCATTAATTATTAAAAAAAAAAAAATGTTAATATTCATAATAATTATTATCGTTTGGTAGTCTAAAAACGTAATTAAAAATATATAATAACCTTTCGATTCCCATACGTTTCGTCTTAGAACAAAAAATTAAACGAAGGGTTGCTTATATGTTTTTTTTTTAAAAAAATGTAATCAAAATAAACTAAAAAAAAAAAATAAAAAACTAACTAAATTATTCATCAACTACAACAGCACATTCACAGCGTTTTTAAACATTTTTTTATGTAAAAGTATTACACGAGTAAGTATGATACATGTAAACCGCTGTACACCAATCCAACGATTGCCATTATTACGAGTATATTCGCCTTAATTTGCATTTACCTATGTAACAAAAATAAAATTATAGTATACAAACACATACCTACAAACATTAGGTATAATATTCATTCGAATAATAATTTGGATTTAGGTCATAATAATAAGTATATAAATTTATTAATTGTACAGAAAGTCCCATAAAATCTGATAAATCAATGAACTTGTTTTTGTATTCAATATTCTTAAGTTTTTCTTTTTTGCAATAATTAATAGAGCCTCGCGATATTATTCTTATATTGTAAATTTGTTTTTAAACTAAAAATAAAAACGTGGAGATAATGAAAACCGTTAACATTTTCGAAAAAATACACGTTTCATCAATTAGTGAACATTTGATACCAACATCAATATATAATAAAATAATTAACTTGAATTTTGTAAAAATAATTATAAATAAATTATACATTTTAAATATTTAGTTTTAAATTGGTAATCGTTAGAAAAAAAAACTTAAAAATATTGAACAGCACAATAGTAATTGTATTTCTCAAATCTCCGTGATGGAATACCCTGTATACCCATATACTTACACATATATCATATTGTTTGAATGTAAAAACTTTTAAGTTGGTATATTGGTTTCAAATGTCCACATTACAATGGTTCACGTTAAGATGTACGCGTGTGCGGTTCCGACCCAAGTTATTTTTATGGGCATATTTTCTATATTTTTTAACGGTTGTATATTATGGTTTTTATTAAAGCGTGTATAATGGGTTTAATAATAATACCTAACGAACATTTTATAGCACAAAATAAATAATGTCACTTGAACATTTTTTTTTTATTTTATGTTGTTAAACATCTTTGTGCATTGAAAAAATACCTAGTTAAACATAGTGAAAAAAAAAAGAATATCAAGTGGATATGGGTACTCTAAAAAAAAAAACCAGGCATACTTTGTACTATGGGTGTGCTACTGTTGTAGATGAGATATTGGGAAGGTGTAAATTAAAAGGTAATTTATATTTTTTTATCTGTATACAGTGATAAAAGTTATTGTTTTGAAAACAAATTATTGTTTTTGATTAGTTATTAAAATATTTCTAAATATTTGAACCGATCCAAAGTCGATCTGACTATGTGGAGGGAGAGCAACTTCATGAATATCGAAAAATAAAATTAACAATAAAAATGGTTCGTTTTATCAACTATATACAGCGTGTTTCTTTCAAAGAGTAATATGAAATATTTCTGTCCAGTGACCTTGGATTAAAATGGGGTTTTCAAGAGAAGATAAGAAATACTGAAATACTCATTTTTTGAGGATTTTAAAGTTTTTAATTCTTTCAGTGTGTGCATACTCAATAAAACTTACATTTTTTTTAAATGAAAACACTTATTTTCAACACTAGATTTCAATAAACAATTATTTTTCAGCAACTTACATAAATAAACTTTTTCTTTACCTTAAAAATTTAAAAGAGAATGATGACTGATGTATATTGTTTGTAATAAATTGTTTAAAATAAAATTAATTGAATAGTAATTAAATAATTGTTTTTAAATTTTACTTAGCTATAATTTGGCCAATTTTCAAAATAAGGGAAGAGTTTTTGTCGTAAGTTGCTTAAAAAAATCGTTTATTCAAATCTAGTGTAAAAAATAGGTGTATCTATTTTTCAAAAATTAAGTTTTATTGCGTATGTGTACATTGAAAAAGTGAGAAATTTTAAAATCCATAAAAAATGTGGATTTCAGTATTTCTTATCTTCCCTTGAAAACCCCATTCTAACCCGAGTTCACTGAATAGAATTATTTCGTGTTCCATTTGAGTAAAACACACTGAATATTGTAAAAAAGTAAGTCAGATTTTATGTTAAAGTGGAATGTATTGATTTTATTATGCTTCAGCAAGACTATAATTCCTGGTTTCTGATAACAAATTTTAATTTTAACTTTTAATTAACTGCATATATTAATAATTATACGGCCTACATACATAATATTTTATATATCCATCAATAATAATGGATTATTAAAATTGTTTACATTTTTTTTAATTTGGTATAAACTTTATGTGGTAGGTACATTATTAGTACGAATTCTCGGAAACATTTTTGTTAGTAGGTATTGTGTTTTCGTTCTTGGAAATAATGGTAACAAAAATGTTTCAAAGTAGTTAAATTTTAAATACATACAAGATTCAAGTTGCACGTTGTTATTTGAACTGCAATACTGAAAGTATCAATAAAAACTTAAACATTTTTAAGTTTTTAATACCTATAACTTATTTTAAAAGGCGAATCTCAAAAGCTTTCAGAAAAGGAAAAATATAGGTACTTATATTGGAATATGTAAAACCATGAATATATTTTCTGTAACCTACCTATATGAATTTAATTAATTAAAATAAATAAAACATCATATTTTATTATATTTTTACATATTTTATTTTATATTCACGTTAAAAGTAGACCGATCAATCTATTAGTTTTATTATGATAGTATTCCACCTGTACAACATTTCAAAGAGGTGCTAGTGCACCCTTTTTTTTTTTTTGTTGTAAATCGGTTAAAAATAATTTTAGATACTTGACATTTTTATAAAAAAATTAACATTGGTTTTTTTAAGACTTGTAAAAATTGTCAAAACTTTCTGACGATTTTTAATCTATTTATAGGCATTTGATATTTTCAAGTTTGAAGATTTAACTCAAGGTTCATCATACATTGTATTTGACAGTGAAAACAAATTCAAGAATAATATATTTTTTTATTAAGTTACTTTTTTAATAAACATTTTAAGTTCAAATTTTGATGAAAATCCTAAAAGTAACGTCATTTCAAAACATAATCGTGTAACAAATAAATGAATAAAATAACTAATAAATTATTATTATATAATTACTAATATGAATCCAGATATTATTATTTTGTTTTGGGAGGTAAGGGGGGGGGGTAAATTCTCTAATTTTTGCTTCCTCGAATCCCTCTCTTTTATACGTATGCCTTTTGCATATTTGAGGTTAAATATATTATTTATGAACATACTTATTTTATTTGGGGACGATTGTGTGCATTTTTACTTCGATAATATTAAACAAATTCATAATAATATCACCTAATCGATTTGGGAGACATAAAAATGACCGAGAGTTGTATATAAGTATACAGGTATTATTTTATAATATCGAAGTATATATTTTTTTTCGTACAGGAAAATGATGTTTGCTCCAAGATGAATCCGCTCCTCGTATTATTATATTTTATTCACGACTTAATTTTCTTCGTTTATCTGTTAAACAGAGTTTACACTGGATGCTTTTATGTTCGTGATATCACGCTGTTATATAAAGATATATACCCAACTATCTACCTACCTTACTAGCGAGAACCATTAATTTTTCGCGTATGATACTCTCTACTCATGCGTTTACTTTTCAGATTACCCGTATCAAACTATATAATATGTATAATCTAAAAAAATATATACATACACGAGCCCCAGGTGAAATCTAAACTTACCTACGCCTACCAACCTATATTACCTATACGTGTTTATAACTTAATAAAGTATATCTGTTAGGTATACGACTAAAGAAAAACCGTTTAATATTGTTCATTGTGTGTCGTAGCAGTATTCGTTCTACTTAGACAAAATTTTATAACTATATTTTACATTTTAGATATCAACTTTACTGAGATAAATTAAAATTTTGTTTTTAGAACTCCAAATGGAAATATTTAACCTCAACGAAATCTATTTTTGTTATTATTTTTTTTTTTAAATAAACAATATAAATCGTAACGAACTAAACACTTTTATAATTTGCCATTATTTACAACAGTGGCCTATCTGTGTTTTAAATTACAATCCGTTCGTATGTGGGAGTGTTTTTTTCCGAGTTGCTCTATCGACCAAAGGAACATATACTAATAATAATAATAATAATAATAATAATAATAATAATACACTTCGTTAGGTACGGCATAACAAACATTCGTTGTTTAAGAGGACGTTATGTGCCCACACACGTTTACCATCTGTGTTTAATATCCTGCAACGATGATAATAAAGCAAAATAATTACACCATACGTAGAACTTGAATTGCGTGATGTTTAGATTAAATTTTGAGTTGAAATGTTTTTGCAGAAGCCTACGGTTAGGTTTTTGGTTGTAGCCTGGTTATCAGGTATGTATAGTTATATTTATATCCAATGTTGTATGAGGATACTTTCTAAAATATCTAGATAATATTAAGAGATAATAGCTAGAATAATTATCTAGATAAAGATAAATAACTACTAACTTTGTATCTAGAAAAACAAAAAAATAATTATGCTTATTACCTTTAATAAAAGTATTGAAAGTGTATCAGATTTTAAAATCATACATATTTCATTAAGGTTCTATGATGTAACTTAATAATTAATTTATAAATTAAATATTTTATCTGTTATTTTTAATGCTTAAATAAATTAGAGTTTAAAAAGATTTATGTAGATCATTTAATTATTTATCTCAGATTACTTATTTCTCATTTATATATAATTTTAGATACGATAAAAGATAAAAAAAATACACCTATATAATACTAATACTGATTATATAATTTTATTGCAGTTTTTTTAAATAATAGAAAAAACTGGAAAATGTACACAATACATTAGCGGTTTTTGTTATTTTCAATTTGATGTGATTTGTTTTTCTATAATTCAGTTAACAATAATAATTATACAGAACTGAACATTTTACTGAATATTTATATTATATTTTTTACACGTGATGGTACATTTTTTTTTACAAAGTATTTCAAGGTTTTCGAGCTATTATAATAACCATTTGACATTTTAGATTTATTTTGGCTTTACAAAAATATTTGATAATTTGATGCAAGGTTTATCATATTTTGTTTTTATGACTCTAAAAGTTTTAAACATTTTTATCACGAATAATTGTCCTTGGAAGCATTTATCAAGTTAAAATGTGTATGTAAATAGTGAACATCGTTGCATTTTAAAACATGATTAACTGAACTTCGATCAGAATCATTTCATAAGCAATGGTTTTATTTTAAATATTCATATTGGTATGTATTATTGGCACTTTGAATAAAAGTCTGTAAAATAATGAATTTAGCATCACCAAGCACTTATTATATATATAACTTTATTAAGCGGACTGCCTACCTTATGGGTTACTAAAAGACACATTATACATATTCAATATTTATATACATAGGAGTGTTATAAAATTATAAAATTATAGTAAATAATTTTATAGGTATAATTACAATCATTATAAAAAAAAAAAGATAAAATATCTACTAGGTAAAATTGATGAAGATTTAAAAAATAAATAAAAATAAAATAAAAGTTGGTTGATTTATTATTGTAATACATAAGTAGTCATTTATTCGAATATATTACATTTGGTTTTGAAGTTTAATCATTCATATTTTCTAGTTAATCGGTTAAATGGTGCTCATTTTAATTTTAATATAGACAATGCTATTTAGCTCTACAACATAAAACAAAATGGAATATTCTTTAAAAAAAATGATGACTTTTACCTCTGGGTGGTTTAAGTTTTTTGTTTACTGTTGGATAACCATATTCTCAAACCTTCATTTTCTCGATTAATTTTTGTATAGGTGGTAGGTACTATACATATTTACAGAAAAATGTTTCTTAAATGCAATCCGAAATAATGAGGTTTTTAGTGTTAAAAGATACATTTTGTACATTTACCTATCTACCCAAAGAAGAAGTGATTCTTTATTATTATTTTAATTTAGCGGTTGATATGTATGTTATATTATTTTTATTAGCAGATGTCATCACTTGACGTTGTCCTCCAAACTTCGTTAGGTTATCGAAAAGAAAAATCGTTAGAAATCAATAATAAAAACAATTACACGTTCTCTCTCCCATTACCTAAACGTATAATTTACTATAGAGGTGTCTTACTCCCATAGTAGTTATTCCCTGATTAATAATTCATAGAAAATTATATTATACGTAGTACCAAGTTTGTTTAAAATAATTGATGCACGACCGGATTTAAGTAAATTGGTGGCTCTTGGTATTGAAGGAGCCCATCAGCCCGAATAAATAAACACGGGTCAAGAAAATAAATTTGTTGTTTATTAAATACAATTTTATATTTTATATTTGCTATATATTTAGTTTGACTTAATAATAAATTACAAAATCAAACAATCAAATCCGGTAACTAATATAATTTGGAATAGTGTTATAAAATCAGTAATTGTCTAAAAATGAATGTGTAAATTGTGACTTAAACATTAATAATGAAAATAATAATGTTCAGTCATGAGTACAATTAAATTCCTGACATTTTTTCTTACGAGTTGATTAAGTTCGTCTCCATCCATAGAGGTGTACGCAATCTATTTCTACGATATTTAAAAATTATAATGATACTTCAGTGGGTACTGCAGTTTGTTATCATAAGAACAAGACAAATTCGAAAACACAATCACTTTTCTTATCTGGATTCTGGAACATCGTTCATTATTATTATTATTTTAGTTTTTTTATTTGATCATATATATATATATTATGATATATTGTGCCATGTAAGAGAAATGACAAATAAAAATATGAAATTTTGGGAAATCGATTTTTAATGTTTTAAAATTAGTGAAACTGTTACATTTGAGATATGATTTCATTTTAGCTAGAAAAATAATGTGAAACAACATTGGTCGGATCATATAAAATCACATCTCAGAAATATCAAATATTCACGCTGGAAAATATATTTTATTTTAACTAGAAATAAAAAAAATTGAGCTCATATTGTCTTTAATAATAATAAAAATTAAAATTTACTGAATTATGAAGGATAAAATTCTGCATATTTTGGTAGTAATAACTCGAATCGTATTTTTTGTTGTTGTGTTATAATTGTATATACAATTAAAAAATGATTGTTATGATGAAACATTAATTATTATATGGAAAAAGTTTTTCATAAGTTCGACACATTATGTATACATTTAAATTAAATACATATGCATATCTACTATAAATTTATTACAAAACTATATGACCCCAAATTTGTTAGGAACCCTGAGCCACTGCTCATTAAACCCCCCCTTTAACTCAGACACTGATCCACACCTTATATTCATTATTTTTTACAAATTCACTTACATTTTTTAAACACTTTTTAAACAATTTTAATAAAACTTACTATGATTATTATTATACTTATTCAATGAAAATACATAAAAATAAATGTGGCCATGTGTCTGCAAAAAAAAAAAAAAAATGTTTGCTAAACAGAGTGTCCTACAGTGTTACCCGTCGGCCTATAATACTTTGTCAATATTTATTTTTTTTAAATCGGGTTTTGTGAGGGGGACATATATGTAAAGATAAACATAATTTTTATTTTGATCCCTTAATTATTGAAAAAATAAATGTATTCTATCATATATTCATATCCCATTAATGATTTCTTAGTTATAGCAGCTTTAATATATAGAAATTAAGCGTGTAAACAATTAATATTTAATAGAAGATAAGGATTTTATTAACCTATTGATTGTTCCTTATCGTGTAACGTGTTATTTTATTAAAAATTAATTATTTTCACGTCTAATTTCTATATATTAAAGCTGTTATAACTATGGAACTATTGATCAGATATGAACTGCAAATAATATATTCAAATTTTTAGAATATATATATTTTACAAAATTGCTTTTTTGAAAATTATAAAAAGTGAAAAAATAAAAATGTTATTTTATCTCATACAACCCGATTGTAAAAAAAAAAAAAGTAAAAAGAATAAATAAATATTGACCGATATATTAGCCGACGGATTACAATGTAAGACACCCTGTATACCTACAGACGTAAGAAATAATTGGATACAATTTTTTTTTTTAGTAAAAGCATTATATTATCACGTATAAATGTGTTTGTATAAGAATTGGCTCTTTCACTCGAAAACCCGGCACGCCTTTAAGGCATTTCGTCAACTGTACCGTGCAGTTTGTCCCTCGTCATTCTATGTCTACGTATGTGTATGCGTGAGCACACGTGTGTGTGCTCATGTATATGCTAGCTTAGGGTGCCCACGCCCAGCCCTTAGGAAACGGATATTTACGGACGAAATAAAAGACGTGTTCTCTTTCGAGACGCCCACAAAAACAATCGATACAATAAGGTATACCTACGATATTCTCTCGTGTCGGTAACACGAATGCAGTAGTAGAATATTATACATGAACGACGAAGGACCACCGATAATCCATCTTTGTGACAAGTCTAGACCTATTGCGTATGCGACACATAACACTTGACTTAAACCCATCGCCGATTTCAGTATTTATATATATATATATATATATACATAAGAGACAGAGAGAGAGAGAGAGAGGGAGAGAGAGCGATATTCAATACGGTCGTGATTGTGTAGATTCTAGGGTTGTTTTTGTTTTTAAATCATAAAATTCGAAACAAAATAACGATTTTGAAATAAATGCGTGTGTTTCGTTTGAATCTCACAGGTATACTTATATCTAGTTTAATAGGTACCTAATATTATATTATTAAATAAATTTAATATAAATAATACTGTTAATATACTACTATTTAACAAGAAATTTTTCAAAAACTATTTAAGTCTTTCGAGTAACACAGGTCGCTTCGAATTTGTTTAGTAATACATGTTTTTAGAAAATACTAAATACCTGTTAGCTAACCGTGGGATCGAATTATGATAGGAATAAAAATCCATGTATGGTGAGTTTTATTAACGTTGCATAGATAAACTGTTTTAGAATCTAAATATAAAAGATCCGCATCTTTTTAAGATAGGCAAGTATGACATTTTTACCACTCGAAAAAGTGTTTCCCGGGAAAAAATTTAAAAAAAACTTTTTAGAAAACTAATATCGCTTTACTACACTCAGTCTTAAAATTAACGATATGAAATAATTTTGTTAGGTATATGATTTTCACGGTTTATAATTCCATAGCTTTTAATAAAATTATTACTATTAGTAACTGTAAATAGTACTGTTAGTTAATAAATATTGACAATATTTTATTATTACCCGTATAAATAAAATGTTAAATTATTGAAAAAAAAACTGTATTATAGTTTTCTTTATAGAATCAAATTAACACGTAAAATCGATATATATATGTATATATTATATGTATACATCAACATTTGAATTTTATCATATTGACATTGATTTCCCGAAATCTGATACTTCAAAGTTTATAGTATTTCGTCGCTACATATTGATAAATAAATAAATATATATTCTTATGAAATAAAAAACTAAATTAACAAACTCGTATACAAGTTATCGACTTATTAAACGCGAATCGTTCGGTAAATAAAATTATATAAGCATAAAATTGGAAAGTTTTATATTATATACATATTGGTTTTTTCAATACATTATTTTTTCAGTCAGATATAAGTATTTTTAAATTATAAAATTTTACATACTCATATAACTCGCTTAAAAATTAAACCATCGAAAAACCGACGTAGTTGCACAATTACTGTTCTCGTCTTATATTTTGATAATGAGTCGATTCACTGTAATATTAAAACTAACAGCACTGAATTGTCCCTGTTGAATGTGAATTTACTAAGTCGTGCGTTTGTAAGATGACGGCAGCACGTGTGTGGATGTGGCTTCCTCATAATGGACACCCGTTTTGTAATGTAGGATGCTTATATTTTATTTAAGTTTAGTTAGTCATTATTATTATTTCGCTATCATTTTTATAGAAAAGATTTTTTTAAACTTTATCTCATATACGTAGGTATCCACGACACGAAAATATATTTCCACAAGCCGTTTAAAGTGCATTAATTTATATAGCGTGCTAATGCGAAAAGACAATCCACGTGATGAAATTGTGAAAAGCCATTAGAGTGATAAACTTCGTTTTCTCACGAAAGAAACTCGAACTTTATTTATAAATCCAATCGCTTAGAATAATTAATAGAATAATTTAGATTTCGAATGTGTGTGATTCAGACGAGTCGGGCATTGCTTCATTTTTTTATCGCCATATCATAGTATATACATACAGTGAAACCTCCTCTTACGGACACCTCACAATAGCGGACATTTTTTTGGGAACGGGGCAGTTTTAACTCTCTCTCCAATTAGCGGGCACTATTTTAATCATAGTTTAAAAATAATGACAGAATGATACCAAAACGTATTCACATTCGTATGTGTTCTTGGAATAATGTAATTACGTTGTTATGAGACAATAAGATTACGTCGAATTCGGTTATCGGTGAAACAGTTATGAGTGTTATTGACAAAAATATCAATGGTTTGTGGGAACCTTTTGTTAGTTAGTTTGTATCGGTTTTCGACGCGATGAGTACGTTAAAATGAAAGTTGTTATCGCTCCGCGAAAAAGTCAAAATTTTACACTACCGTAAAAACAACAGAAACGTAGGAATTCGTGCACTCGCAGAATATAGTACATAGTATATTATTTAATTTAATCGAACACATGTGTTTTTCTTTTACAAATTTACGCTTTATGAATTTTCAAAAACGTATCCTCTTTGAATAACGGACACCTCCGAATAGCGGACTAAATTTTGGAAACCAAGGGTGTCCACTATTCAGATGTTTCACTGTAAATGTATACCTACTATGGTGCGTGAATTAACTTATATAAAGTATAAAATAATTGAATAAAATTAATAAAAATAAATTCATTGTTAAACATAATAGGTATAGGTAAATGTTTTTTTAGATTTTAAGCGGAGTGATATTAGTTTTACTATACGTTTTATTTTTTTCTGTCTAAACAACTTTTTCATCGAAAATTAGGATCTAATCCAAAAATTACAAGAGAAATTTTTTGTTAACTTTGGCTCTAGTTGGTATATTCAGAAGGCCATTTTTGATTTTCCAAGCGGTTTGCGTAATAAAGAAAACATGGATAAAAACAGGGAAAAACAGACAAATATTTACGGCACCACGGCGTTAAAGATTTTATTATTTTATATTTTTGTTTTACACCAGAAATTTTGCTCCAAATTTTAAGAGCATCATATTTTCTAAAGGAAATACTTTTAATGAGTAATTAGGAGAGTAATTTTTTGTTTCCCAAGAGGTTTTCGTGATTTTCGATTTTGTTCTTGTTTTGTTAATCAGTTAAAAATAACTGAGAACAGATATTTTCACAGAACACTTATATTAGCCTTTTCTATACGTAAGTAACAATTTGGTGATTTTGAGCTATTTATTTATTAAAAACGAGATAAGTTCAGTATAAGTTTATAATAATAAGCTTAAAATTAAGTTATAAAAGCATTTAATATTTATAGGTGTTTGGTATTTTTGATTTTTTTTTTTCAGTTTTTTTACGATAGGTATACGAGGATAAAATTGTTTGACCTACATAAATGCTTGAAAATTAAATACGAGGTATATTAAAAATCAAACTTAGCGGTAAAAATATGTAATTGACTTTATAAACTTTTCAGTTTAAATTTTAACGAAATTCATTCAGATTACAGCATTTCAAATCTTGTTAACCGAATTTCACTAGTTAGTAATGGTTTATTGTTATGTAATGATATAAACTAATTAAATATTTATGTATTCTACTATCCTAACTTTTTAATTTCCCATTTAGTTTTGTTTTTAGCTTATGGGCGAAAAAAATCACGTCGTTTAAAAAAAGGCTTTCATGTTCTGTTTGAAACCGAAGAAAAATTTTATGAGACTCAATTTTTCTATAACCTTCCGCTTTTTTTTTCTTGTAAACTTCAAGTACTAAAAAATATAGAAATTAAACTGCTATGTACATACGAATACAAACTCGTATTTTAAATAATTGAATTAATTTTAAAATTTGTTTTCTCAATTGGAACGCGCAATATTATCTATTTTGCCGTTTATGTGTATTATATGTGTAACTATTAACTATACATATATTATAATATATCGATGTAGATATTTATTTCCTTCGCCGTCGAGTGTTTCTCGTTTTTATAAAACACAAAAGTTTTGTACCTAGACGTAGGTTAAATAATGTTGTATTGTTTCTTTTTGTATCAACGTCATCTACTTTTATGAGTTCTACACATATAGGTATATCAAATCCTGTTCAGAATAGCATAAGTCCTATGCCGATTCTTTATTGGATATATATGAATTTGTTGTTTTTTTTTTTTTACTTAAGTAGTAATGACATAATATATATATATATATATATTTAAATTGTTATTTTATATCTACACTCTAATTAGATAAATAAATTCAGGAAATGAATATTGATACCGAAACACTTTAAAAATATAATTATTTGACAATTATTACATTCCGGACGAAAAAAAAAGCTGTTACTGATAGGGGTGTGCACCATATTTAAGGAAGGAAGTTGGGAAATTAAAAAATGGATAATTGATCTCCCAATGCACCAATCAGATCTCAGAAGAAGGTTTCTGTAAAGTTTTTGATTACAGTAAGCTTTCTTGTAAAGAAATTGATAACAAGCACCAATAAATTACATTATAACGATCAATATATGTCTTAATTCTTCAGAATCTGAAATTGTTTGCTTGATACTTACATTTCATATTAAATCCCATTGGCTATAGGATTTGCTAAAATATATATTTGGTACTTGTTATTTTCATATAAATTATAAAAGCAACTTTATCCGGTGAAAAATTTTGGGAAAAAAAAAGTTTTTCAAATACAGTATATCGGGCGGAATTGTCGATATGGTACATAGCATTTTTAGCGGTTTTACTAACCGAAGTGTTCTACGAAAACAAAACACATCTCAGTAAAACTCAGAAACTAAAATCAAACAGTATAAAACGGATTAACTCTGAAATTGTATAAACAATATAACTAATAAATTTCTTTTATTCTATGATATAATATAAATTGTAATAGGTACATAAGTTTAATTTAAATGAACATTTTATTTAATATTTCGTAGTAGTTTTGATTTGTTATAGCTTTAATTTTAGATTTGACCAGTTACTCGTTAATATATACATTTTTTTTACCTCATGTTCTATAATTGAAATTTGTTTAATTATATTTAATACAAATATATAAACCATCAGTCTTCATAACTTCAGAATATTGATGAAAATGAAAAATTATTTCATAAATAATATGTATACCCTTGATAATAATATAACAATTTTAAAGAAAAAACAACTCAGAATTTATAAACAATATAATTTATATATGAAATACATTTAAAATTGGTTTACATTAGGCACTGCGGTAACTATATAATTAAAACCCGGCATTATTATTTTGGTATATTATTTTTAAATGACGATTGGCAAACATATAATTAATAGGTTATTTGAACTGTTTTTTTTTTTGTATATACAAAGATTTCAAATGATTTTTTTCACTGATAACAGACCTTGTTATGTATTTTAAAACTGCTAAAATAGAAAATTATAAAATAATAAATTATATTCCTGAAAACACTGTGAGAGCATTTATGTATTACATGGTACATATCTGATTGGTATTCAAAAATCAGTTAATACGAGTAGTGCGTAAAATCGTTTTTTAAGTTTATATTATTTTAGAACATAATATATATTAGATAGAATAAAATACTATGCCATTACTCATTAGCATAATACATGGATTTAATCATAAAAAATAATGTAAATTAGGTACGTGTAAAATCTATAAATAATCGTGTATACACTAATATTTTCAACATTGTATAAATTTAACTATATAATTTTTCATGGCTTTATTTACGTTTTCTCTAAAATGCATTTATTTATTTTTGAATCAATAATTTAATAAAATAGAATAATAATATTTTGGATTATTGGTGAACAAATGTTAATTTACCATACTTTCACAGTATCATAATTAATACCTCATCATTTTTAACAAATTTTGCGTAATGATGGCGTAGATGTATCTAACCTATTCTCACAACCGTCTCAACTACTATTATATGATTCCTGCCTATTTTGAGTTATCTCTACGTACGTGACAAAAATATCGATCTTTTGAAAACATTTTACAATACCATACAAATGTAAATAGTATACCACTATTTAGAAATACAATGGTACAGCTTTAATGGTATAAAAATAATTGTCCATCTACATTCTTGTAAAATAAAAATAAAACTTTAAGGCTGAACCTAACCACGAAGGAGAATTATTGATTGTTTTTAGTTGGTGGTATAAAACTTTAAAGCAGGCTCATAGCCAATTTTTCAATATGTATATATACATGTGTACTGTATGTAAAATGTCGATCGTAAAATATGATGTATGTATGAATACAAGAGTACAATAATAGCTCGAAATAATATTTATAACAGAATATAATAACTCATGAGTTATATTATTTATATTATCTTCTAAATATTCGAAGAAAAAAAATATCATCGGGTTTTGTGTAAAATAATATCAGTGGCGTAATCAAAAATATTCAACAGAGTGGGATGTAATGGTAATAATAATCATGAACAAATCTTAAGAATCTGCTTCTATAATATAGAAGAAAAAGTACTTTTTATAAAATAACAGGAATTTAAAAGTCGGATCCAAACTTTGTTCAATAAATCAATTAATTTTACTTACATCAACGAATTATTACATTTGCTTTAAGGTTTTTTTAACAGTTTAGGTACAATATATTAATTATTGTGACAAAAATTCTTAATTATTTTTTATAGGTAGGAAAAATAAAATAAAACTTCTAAATATTATATTCTGATAAGATTTAAACATCTATTAAATCATGTATAATTATTATTAAATTAATTTTTTTTAATATTTTTATAATACTTAAAACGAAATTAAGAATTCGTTTTTGTTTATTTTTAAAATAATATATTATATACTTTCATATTTTTTATTTTTTTTTTTTACATAAAAAGCATTTTAGTTTTTGTAAAAAGATCTGCATTGAAAAAATTATAACAAAATTAATACCACAGTATGTGTTATACTAATGGACTGGAATATAAAATTATAAAGGTTTAATCGCTTTATTTTATGTAAATGTCGATAAAATTATTAATAAAGTGTTAGGTTATGTTACATTTTAACAAAAGAAAAAATGCTAATAAATGTGCGTTTATATGTCTATTATAGCGTTAAATAGGAACAAAATAAACGGTTTTGTTTATTACAAATTTATTATCTATTGTATATAGTTTAATATTCACTGGAGGGACTAATATTTAAAAAAAAGATATAAAGCGGTGAAATATATATTTCCATGAACGTAAAACACGTCATTTGTGTTTCACCAGCAAATATAATTATATATAACCATGGGTGTTATGTTTTATTTAAATAAATTATCTAGATAGATAAGTATACAGAATGATTAACTAAGCGTGCTCACCCCATTTTTTTGGATAAATTTTCTAATTCTGAATTTTGAAATTTTTAAGTTTAGTTAAAGCCGATATTTTCGAATATTTAGATTTTTCACGACATTTAAGGAGTATCCTGTGACAACACCAACTTTGGTTTTTTAAATGAGAACTTATAATAAAAATTGCATAAATAGACGTAGTGCCTATTAGGCATTTTAAATACATTTTGATGTCAACATTTTTGATTTCCGTCAACCCGTTAACGATATATTACATTTTTAAGTTTAGGTAGGAGGAGAGTTGTAGTGGTGTATCATTTGTATGAGAAAACGGAGTTCAGCGTTTTATTAGTGTTCCATAACCTAAACTTAAAAGTGAAATATCTCGTCAACTAATACTCTATCTATTTTTGAAATTTTTAATATAGGTTCTCATTTGAAAAACCAAAATTGGTATCAGGATACTCCTTAAATGTCGTGAAAAATCTAAGTATTCGAAAATATCGGCTTTAAATAAACTTAAAATTTCAAAAATCAGAATTTGAATACATGCAAAATTTAACCAAAAGAATCGGGTGAGTACGCTTAGCGGATCACTCTATATTTTTATTTTCTATCTTATTCAGATGAATGGAAAATAGTTATTTGTTATGATGTATTAAATTATTCAAATAAATTTATCGATTTGTCTTTTTAAATCATTATTAATATATTTATTCGAAATAATAGGTCAAACATTTAATGTATGTTTTGTATAAATTAATGATGATTGCACAATTTTTTTGGAATCTATACGTATATCATATTATATTCACGTATGGTACGCTTTTAGAACTAAGTTTTATGACAATAAATTTACAAATTAATTTAATTTTGCCTTCGTTTTAATTAAATAATACTGTTATGTATATTTTTTTTCATCTGGGATTCATCATTGTTATTTTAGCAATGATCTTTTAGCTTTATCTTGTTATTATTAAAAGTGTAATATCGTATTTTTATATAACACTGAATTTATAACGTTTTGGATTTATACGTTAATTATATCTTGTTAAACTTAAAAAAATCACTTCAGATCGTAATTCACTAAACCGCGTAGGTAGGTATTACAAAAAGAAAATAATTTTCTTAAGTAAATAAAATAATATTATCTTTGGCGAAGCGATTTTACCTGTTAATGCGCGGTGACAATCGAAAATACCGCGCGTTACTTGTCTGTACAGATTGGTATTCACTTTCGAATTATTATTCTGTAGCTTTTAATGGAAACGGTAGCGGAAATTTTATTATATATACGAACATTCCGAAAAATCAATATTAACGAAACAAAATAATGAATTTTTTAAACTTTTATTTACTTGACTATATCGCAAGAATCACAATTTTTAAGGTTTCTCATGCGCCGTTCATCGTAATGGAAAAAAAAAAATGTTATAATATAAGTGATAGAGTTGCTACTGCAATACATTTGACTAACTTTTATTTATATTGAATGCACAAGCCTAGGAGAAAAAAATATTTTGATATGATACAAAATATACTACATTATATATATATTTTTTGTTTTCGGCAAAAATAATTAGTTATTAAAAAAGTTGACACTAATCATGAGTAAGCCACTGTTGTAGGAAAGTAATTGGGAATGTAGTACAAACAAGTTATAATTTAGTTTATATATTGTGAACGACGATCAATTGTTGCAAATTAAAAAACTCTGAGCAAAGAGGCTATCAGTCGATAGCCTCGATAAAAAAAATCGATAGAATATTTTGAACAATTGACCATGTCTAAAAAAAAATATTAGTTATTTTGTATAAATAGTAGATTATATGGTTATTTTTAACTAAATAACTTCAAAAAATCGAATTGAAAATAATTAAATAGTTAAAAGGCTATTGCCGTAAATTTTCTTCCTTGTGGAAGGGGGTCAGGATATTTCCACGGTATCTCTATCTGTCGTAAAAATACAATAAATAGAGTTGCATTAAGTCAATAGCCAGCGTCAAATTCTGTCAAACAGTATAAGGAGTTCCAAACAAGACTTTGGTGGCTTGTCCCATCTCGAATGTGCGCTTTGGTACAACAGGTATTCTGGTGCATGGTGTTTGCAGATGCTATAGCTTTTATAGGAGAAGATCTGAAAGAATTTAATAATAGGTTTGCGGAATGGAGGGTAGCACTTGAAAGAAATAGACTAAGTATAAGTAAATTAAAACAGAGAAATATACGTTATATAGAGTATGGGTACGGAGAAACAGAACAAGATAGCTAACGACAATAAGCAGTGACATAATAGGTGAGATTGAGAGTTTTAGATAACAGTTTATGGTAGGTGATGGTGGCTTTATGAAGATGTGAAATGTAGGATTAAGATGTGATTATATACAATGAAGAGAAGCATCATGTGATTTATTTGACAAGAGTATTTCAATGTTCACAAAACTTCTACAAAAGTATGATCATACTGATTATGTTGTATGGGTCGGAGTGTTAAGCGGTTGATAAAAAAATTAAATAGTAAATGCAGAAATAAGAATCCTTAGATGGATTAGTAGAGTGACAAGAAAAGGTAGGAAAAGGTAGAAATGGATGAGTACATAAGAAGTAGCTTCAGTGTGGCTTAGATAGTAGATAAAATGAGAGAATATAAACGTACCTGGTTCGGGTATGTCATGGGGAGAGAGGAATCTGAAGTTGTAAGAATTTTTAACAAAAATAAACGTAGGAAGAAAGAGTGAAAAGGAAGACCGAAAAATAAATAGTTGAATTCGACTGAGAATTATGTGAAGGCAAACAATGTGTGCAAGGTGAGAAATTGGATCAATAGGAAGTTTAGAATGAGGGTGTCCAACTCCAAATAATTGGAATGAAGACGAAGAAGTAGAAAAAGAATATTGCCATAAACTTTACTGTTTTCCTAAGTTTTTCCGATTACTTCCTAGACTACACTAAATATTAACTATAGACGACATTTTCTTTCAGCAAATATTTAACTTTTAAAATTCGGGATGAAATTGCTGGTAAATAAACAAAATCGAAAAAATCAAAAATAATAGAACACAGAACTATATTATAAGATTTGTCCATTTCCCCATGACAAACGTATATTGTTTCTGATTTTTCTTAATTGTTATAAAAAAGCTTGGAACTAAAACATTTCTTGTGGCGTTATATATCTAAAAAAAAGACTGAAAATGGGATCGCTACTGAATATTTCGTAAAATGTTTGGAATAAAGACCACTGGACAGAAATTCTGCATCTTTCAAGATACTTTTGGAAAAAGTTGAAGTATCCTCCGAACTAAAAACATGACTTAAAAAAATAAAAACAATTGTTTAGAAAAATTATTGGTAGTTGAAAAAACAAAATTCAAATAATATTCCGTTAAATGAAAACTCCAGCTCATATAAGATTAAGTATAAAATATAAAATTAGTGCAATTTCATCAACCGAATAAATGTTTTCCAAGAATAAAAACACTATGCAACTACTTAGTTTCGGCTTACGACATCATTTTTTTTTTTTTTATATATATATATACCTATACGAAGTCTGGCTATTAAATAACGAGACTGCTTATGAAAAATGGTTTTATTTTAAAAATTATTCCACAACAAAATGTTCCCCTTCAATGTTCCCCTACTCTCCTCCCCTCTTCATACACCGTTTTATTCGTTTTTTCCATTGCTCAAGGCAGTACTGGAAGTCTGTTTTTGTAAGACTATTTAGGAGTTCCGCTGATTTTTGTTTCACCTCTTCCATCGAATCAAACCGGATTCCTTTTAAGGCAGATTTTATCTTCGGAAACAAGTAAAAGTCGCAGGGTGCCAAGTCGGGTGAGTAAGACGCATGTTCGAGTACTGGAGTGCCTTAAGCGGCCAAATAACGCTTCACAGACAGCGCGTTATGGGCAGGTACGTTATCCTGGTGCAAGATTCTCGATAGTTGGTTCACAGTTTGACCCTCTGGAACCCATTCAGTCATCACGATGCCGTTGATATCGAAGAAAACGATCAGCATGGTTTTGAATTTGGATTACGACTGAATTGGATTCCGGTGCACTCTGTGCCTTCAGAAAATAATTTATGCCACTCAAAAACACGCGCCCGAGATAGTAAATCCTTACTATAGGCCTCTTTTAACAACTTATAGCACTCAGTTGGAGTTTTTTTTAGTTTAACGAGACAATTTTACGTTTATCCTTTGCTCATGTTTTTCGTCACGCATCGTTTTCGGCAAGAGAAAAAAACATGTTCGTTTCTAAACGCTACAGAAAAAATACTGATGCACCAACAAAAACCCAATTTTTGACTGGCATAATAGACACTTCCAGCTAACCAGCGCTGTATTCGGTTTTCCTCTAACCTTTTTGGGACGCTCTCTGCACGCGCAGTCTCATAATTTAATAGCCAAACCTCGTATAGAATTAAATAAACGTGTAAAAAATCTCAAATATATACATATACTAAAAGATTATTGTAATTCGGTATTTATACGTGTTCAACGAAATGACGAATTCATTAAACCTGGTCCACATTATGATTGTTATGAAATTTGCTACACGATGATGGTTACTATCATAAATAATTGTTGTATGTACGAAAGTGGCATTATTATAACAATCGTAAAAACAATTACCTACCACACAGACGTTTCTATATTACATCAAAATTATACTCTATAATATGTTTAGTCTAGAAATTACATAAAATAGCAGTAGAAGCTATATTATCATTGCTATTTATCAATGGCGTTAGTAGGTTATTAATTAAATTTAAAATAGATGCTAATTTTATTTCTATATATTTTTTATAATATAACAGTGGACAAAATATTGGCACATTGCTAATTGTTATGATATTCAAAATTGTTAAAATATTAAATTGTTCATTCCTTAAGGATATTTATAAATAAATCGTGTTATTTCGAAATCATTACCAATATGTATTTTAATTTTAATAAAAGAAATTTGTAATATATCGTTGAAATGATTTCCAATCGAATATATATATATATATATTTTAAATATCTGCTATTTTGACTGCTAGTTTTGATAAGAAATGGTAGTCAGCTAATGCTTTTTATTTTAGCATTTAATTAACTCTAATACAGCCTATGTATTTTACTAACACTGTTACATCATGATGTGATGCACATTGTCTATGATTACTATCATGATAGTTACAATACCAACTAACATTTTTTCTAGTTTTCAATGAGGGCAAATTAAATTTTCAAAATGACTAAATGACATAGTTTGATAATAGATTAATAGCTAAATTAATTGTCTTACCTAAATGTGGGTGTAATAACTTAAGTGATATATTTATGTGAATGTTTACCTTTTTGGCTAAACAAAAAGTACATCATAGTGACTTAAGAAGTTTAAACTATACAGTTTAACATCTATTAGAATATATAGTGTACATATAATACATTCATACCATTTAGACCAAAAATAAAGAGCAAAATTACATATCACGCAATGATAAAAAAAGAATTGACTTAAATCTTTCTTCCCTGGAACCAAAAATTTTATATACAATATAAATAACAAACGAACTCGTCCCAACATATCTTAAAATTAATGATGAAACATACACGCATTCGTTTAAAGGAGAATACGCTATGTATAAGATTATATATTACTCGTATGTATTTTACTGTTTTTTTATTTCCCCCGAGCCGCATATAAACACCAACTTAATATTATGTATACGCAAACCGTATTTATAATATTTTATTTTTAACAACTTTTATACCACGCTGCGAATGATATTACTTATTTAGTGTTACTCGCCTATATCGCCCTGTTAATCCTTTAGAGAACAAAAAGAGAAAAACAAAGTATGAACAACAACTGTAACGACAACGAGCTAGTGCCCATTTATTATATTACGTAAGCCACGATTGCGGTTACGGCGAAATAATAATAATAATACAAAAAAGCCAAAAAGGCGAAATGTCAAATTTATTTTTTTTTTTATATATTTTCAAATACACGTGTTATAAAATATGATAAATTATAATTATTTGTTTGCGGAATATTAGATTTTAAGGCCGGGAAATTGTGTATAGAACTGCACCACATAACATTATGATCATAATATATTAACGCTGAATCTTCCAAAACAACGTGTAAAACAAAATAATAATAGTAACAATAATACAAATAACAGTACATATAAAAATAAAAAAAATATGACAACAAAAAAAAAAAAAAAAAAATGAATACAAACGAAACGACAATTCAAAATGATCACTGTCGGTACATGTATTTATATTCCATCAAAAATTGTATAGGTATGTGAATTGACACGCTGAATAACAGAATACGAGTAATATTAATTCCGAAAAAAAAAAAGATACACCGAAAAATGATTTATGCAAGTAAATCTCTTATTGTGATAATATAATGTATATTTTGTACGATGATGAAATATCAGCTATTCCTGAACCTATTAATGTATAAAAAAAATATTCGTGTACTTGCGCGCAAAAGAAAAATATCGGTAAAAAAATTTGATACTATTGATATGCCACTCTTTTAGAAGATAAGTCGGAACAAATGATATACAGTAATTTAATTTATTTTTGAACGTAACGAGAAAACGATAAACTATTGCAAACCGAAAACTATTCTGAGCGATTCAATATTATTATTCGTATTTTTCCATTTGTGGCCAAAGTAACTCAGAAATCATCAAATATTTTACAATAAATTGCTAGTTTTCCCCATTTATTAAGAAAATTATAGGGAAAATTAAAAATCTACCACCTCAATACATCAAGTAAATTAAAATTGTTCAAAAAAATATTTCTTTTAAGTTTTTTTTTATTTAAGCAAGATTTCTAGTAGAAAAATTGTTTACAAACATTGTTGTACAAATAAATAATAAATTATGACTTAACGCACATTCTTTTATTTTTCAACCATAAGCAACTAGTTTGATGAGCCTTGTAACAAATTATTGACCATGTTTATGGAGCTAAAATACGTAAATCTCGACTATGGATTATTATGGGATATTTTTGTATTGCCGTGAAAACAATAATTACCATGTAATCCTAAAACTTTATTTTACCTGTGTATCATACATTTTTATGAAGCCAATAGAGTTTTACTTTCGTAAAAAAACTTGACACATTTTAATGAGCTATGTATAAATAAACAACTCAAATAACCGGAAATTACTCCTGAAGTATTGATGAGATCAGAACAACTTGAGGTTGAAAACTATAGACCGGAAAAAAAAACATGGCACTTAACATATTATATTAAAACTGAACCATGTTTATATTGGTTTGCTAATAATCTAAAAAAAATATCGGGGCCGGGGGGGAGGGTGTATCAATAAAAAGAAACACGTGGCATTAACAAAATTCTGTCATTGATCCAGGTTTTTTTTTTTTTTTAAATCCGTAGAAGCCGGAGCAATCAAAGATGGATGAAGCTGCGGACCACCGTGCAGCTGTCGAGCGCTATATCATCGACGATAAAGACGTCGAAACCGACGTTGCAGCGGGAGGACTCGTTCATCAAGAGATTTTCCACTCGGCAAGTGGCCGAAAAGCAGGTAGATAATTATTATATCGCGTACAGCCGACTAGTGTAATTTATTATTATATATCTGCATTCTTCACGTATACCTATACATACATTATATTATTATATAAAATATGATAGGGAGACGAATGCCTCGAGTTTTCGTTGATCGCGTATAGTCTCTCCGATGACAGGCCGTCGAGGTATTATAATATACGAATAATACGCGTAAAAGCGATGCGAATTCCGTATAAGCCCTTTCAATGTTTAAATTATCCACCAGCATTAGCACTCTCTGGAAACCTCGACGGCGGTGGAGCGTTTCTGAACGCGATTATATTTACATTCCGTCAAAAAGCTCAACGTAAACGTAAGCGTTCTTTATGTAATTGATATAAATAATTATTTTACTATTTTATTGTGACACTTTTCGGAATATAACAAAAAGCAGATCAGTTACACCAACTTATAGAAGCTAGAGATCTATCTGACTAATTTTGAGGAGAAGGATAAACAATAACTAAGTATTTTAAACACGTATTTAAAGACTAATATATAGATAGACAAATGCTGAGAAGCATAGTTAGATAAAGGAGCTAAAAAATGTATATCCTCCTCCAGGGTCATTCTCAGCTTTGCCGGACCCCAGGAAAACTAAATCTTCTTGCCCCTTTATTTTTTTAGGGTTAGGCCTGATTTTCAGTTGACATTTGTTTGCAAGTTCAAGCCACTTAAAAATAGATTTAGGGCCAGACCCCGAAAAAATGACCCGAGAAAACCGGTCTGGGTACGGCCGATGTATGCATACTGTTTAATTTGAGTGATAGCAATTTTTTTCTTCTACTCATGAAAAAACGTTTCCTACACTGAACCGTATAAAAAAAAAATTTATGGAGGAGTACTATATCAAAAAATGAATTCAACAGTTATGAATATTATAAATAAAAGAAAACATTAATGGAAATTATGTAATTATTGATTGTATTCAATTTCTCCTTGGAAGATGCAGCTGTCAGAGAAGTATATATTCTTATTTATAACTTGTATAGTATATTTACAAGATAATATGTTGAGACATATACATAATATATTTTCATTTTACTATTAAGTTTTCCTTTTTATTTTTAACTTTTTTTTAAATTAAAAAGTATATTGATGTAAAACTCTTGTCTAAATTTTATAAATTGTTTTAGAGGGAAGGGTGAAGTTCTAAATTGCCATCTTATCTACACCTATAATTCAAGCTTAAACGTATTTAGCTCGTCTTCCCCCCAAAATACAAAAGCCTGGCTACACCACTGTAGATAAATATGAAAACACTAGATTTATGAAAAATATTAAACTAATTGAGATTTTAAACCCGTCGTGGTGTTTTGTTGTCTTGGTTTATACTTATCGGAAACTAACTTTCTTAGGGCATTATTATGTTTGCATGAACGGCTAGGTTAGGTTTTGGTTTTAAATTGGCATTCCCCCCCCTCCATTTCGGGAAAAGTGTCTGAATCTCCGACTTTGAATATATATAGTCTACGTAACACGGCGTCGTGGTTATGCAATATTGCTACATTTGTGAAAAATTCTCGTATCTCATAATATGGTTTCGAATGATTTCCGTCAAAAAAGTTTTTAACAGATTTTTTTTTTAATCACGCGGTCGGAGAGTTTGGGCTTTTTATGTTGAGGGTGGGATACACTATGTAATTAACGACTCATTATGTGCCACAAAATATTCACTCACGAATAAAAAAAAATGTTACCAAAATACATTTATTGCGTCGTCGTTTTTGTAAAAATGTGTTTACACCACGCGGCGGGATACGCAAAAAATAAAATTGTTAGGTACATTCTATAAATATATATATATAAGTATACGAGGACGGAGAGTTGAATTTCTAAATTTTTATTTTTTTCATCACGTCATTTACGTTTTCATAACTTAACCTTTAAATAATTATGTATATAAGATTTAAATAAAATGTAATCATCGTGATATACACCGCTGAAATCGTGGTGGGTTTTATTACTTTTACTTTACACTCGTCCTGCAAAGTTGTCGATAACCGATTAATCGCTTCCGCTCGACGCACCGTTCGTTGAAAATAATTTTCACAAAATCATCGTTTACTTATATTGTTATTCGGAACATTAAACAGCAATATTGTTTTAGAGTTGTACGTTACAGGTGATATTCGCGTATGCTATCACATCCAAACACTTAGAACAATCGTCACGCGATACATTTAATTTATTATTATCTAATGTATGAATGATCGAATTTTCTTCTGTTATATACCTAATCTGATAATGATAATTTAAAAGCCAAATTTAAAATAGCAAATTTGTATACAATAAGTCAAGTTATTTTTTTCGTAATTTAACTAAAATATATGTAGATTTAAGGTAAAATTACCAAATAAGGACTCAAATTGGTTGTGTTTTTAAGTCGATGAGAAAATATAACACTTCATTACTAACCCCACTTGAAAATACCTCTATTTATTTAAGTATTAATCGTATCAAAATAATGTAAAACCCAACCCTTTGAATGACAAAAAATATTCATTTCTGAAAATTATTCGATCAAGATGCATAACTATAGGATATTTTCGAGTGTACAAAAAAATCTGCAATATATTTACTTCCACACAATATTTATAATAATACAAATCAAATATATACAATTTGTATGAGCATGTCGAGAGTGGCCAAAAGTAAATATGTCACATTATTATTTAATATTTATTTTATATGTATATTCTACTTATAAAATCGAAAATATCGCATCGGAGACACGCATGTATTCGATAATAATCAAATATCCAAATACATATGATTTGATCATCAAAATTGAGCAATTTGTTTTATTGTTATTATCTAATGAGACATAGTATATTCAAAAGTTGTTTACGTCATAATAAACAAATATTAAGCGGACAGTAGAATTGAATTTATTTTTGTTGTTGTTCTAGTGTATTATTGAAAAACAAAGTTTGTATAAACTATAAAAGCTTTGAATACAATACTACGTTTGAATATAACTATGATTATTAGAAATCAAGGTTCAAATTAGGAGATTATGCAATTCACTCGAAATGAAGTACAATTCTTTACAGTGTCACACAGAAATCCGACAAATGCAATAACTTTTTTTCCGTTCAATATTTGAATTTCTTTTTATACATAATAATTTCTAGAACTTTTTTCAATAATTATTACATTTTTTTGTTTTAGATTCTGAGTATAGTGAAGAATGTATTGATTTTACAGAGATGTATTTTTTAATTTGTTTTTTTCTTTTTTATACTGTGTACAAAAAATCTACCAAAAATCTTCCTCCGATATATATGCGCAGCATAATTTCTGACAGGGAATATTGTTCAAATGGTACTTTCGGGAGGTAATTTTTTGATTTTTATAATATTTGAGAAAAAACAAGATATAACGTAAGAAAAACGGTAAATTTACGAAAATAATAAATTTATTATTAATTAATTTTGTTATTTGTTGTAATTCAGTTAAAAATATTCATAAAGACTTCAAATTTGGACAAAAAACTTATATTTAGCATTTCTAGACTTCGTAAAATTTAAAAAATTCAAGTCATTTTAAGCAATTTATAGAAATTTTAATTTTGCGAGTTTGGTAAGTAATTTTTATTCGATAGATACTTTGTGGTAAAAATGTTTGACCAAACAAAAAAGCTTGAAAATTTAACAGGAAGTCCATTAAGAGTCCATACAATATCAATAAAATATTATTAAAGAAAATGTTTAATGTATATGTAATTATTTTACCATAATATGTTGTGTATGACATAAATAAGTGAACAAAGCAACACTATCAACCGAGTTTAGCTCAGAATCGTCTTTTCGTTATCAATGGATAATCGTTGCGTACAGTTATACTTTAAATTTTCTCTCTACTTTCTTCCCAGCTTTACCTATAACATTTTTATAATTGAAATTGTGTCAAAATCCAAACCATATTCGTTACTGTCTATTAACCATTTCTAGGGAAAACAAAAGTATGCCATAAAAACCTAGTAAATATGTATGCAGTTATGATCTAAAAATTCCAAAAAAAAAACTAAAATTAAAATTGATTTTAATTATAATAATATAATAATAGATTTATATATTATAATAAAAGGTAATTTATATTTTATATAGTATGCTATTAATTATCAAACAATAAATGCGGCATTAATATTTTAATTTCTCTTTCGGTGTTTAAAAAAAAATAAAATAAAAATCCAAAACTAGTAAAATTGATCAATTTAACCACACAAGTATAAACTACGACTTAAATAATTACCTACTCAAATAAAACCAAAGTCAGGTATAGGTATGATAAAATATATAGACAGTATTATGTTATATGATATTACTATACAATGATTTAATCTTATCGATAGTTCAATAAATTAAACCATTTATAATAAATTATAAATGGGTTATAAGAATAACCCATAACAACTTATTTAAGTGAAACAAATTAATAAATAATATTTTATCTAAAACACAGGTAGGTACCTAGTATATTATCAATTTATCTTTTTATTAGCTCGCTTGCTGAGTTCTGATTTTTTAAAATTATTTTATGATTCTTGATTCATCGAATTAAAAATGGCTTAACAATTTACGAAATACTAAATATTAGTGTACAAAATCCTTGAAATATACTTTAAAATCACACAATACCATAAAAAAAAACACCAAATTGTACTAAATAAAATTTTGTATATATAATAGACTTGTATTTAGTCATGAAATATATTGTGGTATTAAATAGTTATTTTTTGATCAACCAATGAATCTAAGTAAATGCATATTTCTATCTCCTAGTAATTACTTTAGTTACGAGTATAAATATGTTATGTTTTTTTATTTTTTACTTTAATGTGTATTAACTAAATTCAGCAATATTTGACCATCAGATCCTATTATAAAATTTGAAAAACATAGGTAAGTAGGTTGTACATAATTAATTATATGGTAATACAATATGTTGCTATACAATTTATTTTTTCCCTTTAATTTTTCCTATTTTCAAGGAAAAAAAACTGTTTTT